CAGGAGAGAGAGCACCGTGTGGCTCATGCTAGCGCCGCAGAGACTTGCCACAAACTTGCCCAGACTCCCCTCAGGAAGAGGAGTCTCAGGTTCTTTATGTCCCTCTCGACCTGCCTCCTGCTCCCAGGCAGTGGGAGATTGTGCTGTGGAGACCGTGTTGACAAGACTAGGGGTCTCTCGTCACGCAGGAGGAGGCCGTTTTGAGAAGAGCGCTGCCTACAGGGCGTGCTGCTATCTCCCCAGGGAGGAGAGAGCGAGCACCGAGTGGCTAGCGCCACGGAATCTCGCCCAAACTCCTCTCAGGAAGAGGAGTCTGAGGTTCATTTGTCCCTCTCGACCTGTCTCCTGCACCCAGGGAGTGTGGAGTCGAGGGGTCTCTCGTCACTCAGGAGGAGGCCACTCTGAGGAGCGCGCTGCCTACGGAGCGTGCTGCTATCTCCCCGGGGAGGGGAGAGAGAGCACCGCGTGACTTATGCTAGCGCCGCAGAGTCTCGCCCAAACTCTCTTGAAGAAGGGTCCGAGGTTCATGTGGCGGGAAACGCGGGGGTAATCTTTTTCTATGAAAGAAAGGATTACGCTTTCCTTGTCTGAGTCAACTGTGTTCTTGCACATACTTGACGGTATGTCACAGGTAGAGGGCAGTGTGGTCTTACCTACAGACCAGGCACATTTCACAGAGGGTGGTTTGAAGAGTAGTCTCAGACCACCGCTCTAGGTACCAGCAGGTCTAGCGCTTCATCTCTCCAGGGAGTTTTGAAACGCGAGGGTCTCACGAAGGGATGCTTAAGGCCTCTGCCCCTAGCTCCGCTATATCTCACACTTCCTCATTGGGTATGGGTCTGAAGCGTAAGAGGCAGGCTGCTGTTACCGGGGCAACGGATCAGGGTCCGTCTGTCCCACACAGCACATCATTGGACAGGCTGCTATAAGCGAGACAGGGAGTAAGGATTCCACTGTCTCGCGCAGCTTAGCACAGAGGCAGGCTGCTATTGGCGAGACGATGGTTGAGGAGCCATCTGTCCTGCGTAGCACGTCACGGAGGCTGACTGCTATTAGCGAGACAGTGAGGGAGAACTTATCTGTCTCGCACAGCATAACACACAGAGAGGAGGTAGCCTCTCTGCCCCCTCTCACGTCTTTTACCAGGTCTGGAGAGAGCAGGGGCTCCTCTCAGATGCGTGGTTGGACAGAACGTTACGCAGAGGCTATGCCCTACAGTTCGCCCGGAGACCACCGCCATTCCAGGGCGTTCGAGCGACGGGCTCCAGGCGACATGGGACAGCAGAGGCTCTCCAAGAGGAGGTAGCCTCTCTGCTAATAAGAGGCGCTGCGATCCAGGTCAATGTGGACAGGTCAGGTCCGGAGTCTGGATGTCTACCATCGATCTGACAAACGCTTACGTCCACGTAGCGATAGTGCCAGAGCACAGACGTCCCACATACAGAGGCTGGGCTTTGTGGCGAAAAGAGAGAAAAGCAGGTCACAGCCTGCCAAGCGCACGCTCTATCTCGGTCTGCAACTGGACTCGGTGGAGTTCCGAGCAGCCCTATCCGTGGACAGACAGGAGAACATCTCACGACTAGCCACCACGGCGCTGACCGCCCCCAGGGTGCTCGACGCCTCAGGTCACTCCTGGGGATGATAGCAGCGGCCCATGCGGTTGTACGTCTGGGTCTTCTCCACACGAGAGGATTTCAGAGATGGTTCTCAGGTCTCAGACTTCTCCCCTCCCGGGACGCAGCGACTATGCTTGTGGTTCCCCCCCAGGGTGACGTCAGACATAAGGTTCTGGCTCACCCCGGGTCTGATGCGGGACGGGGTGCCCCTGATAGGCACCGTGTCACACGTGGAAGTGTTCACGGACGCCTCTCTTGAGGGGTGGGGACGGGTTCTGGGTCAGAGCTCCGTAGGAGGGCTCTGGTCAGACCCATCTCTACACATCAATCTACTGGAGATGGTGGCAGTGCGCAGGGTGCTGCTGCACTTGGCTCCACTGCTGCAGAGGAGGCACGTGATGGTGCGCTCGGACAACACCACCGTCGTGGCCTACACAAACAGGCAAGGGGGCACGAGGTCCCCCGGTCTCCATCGCCTGGCAGCTATCATTCTGCTCTGGGCGGCTCTGAATCTGCTGTCTTTCAGAGCACGCCATGTTCCCAGAGACAGGAACACAGGGGCGGATCTAATGTCCAGGGGGGGGCACTTAGGGAGTAGTGGGGCCTGGCCCCGCAGATTGCTGCACAGGACTGGCAGAGGTTCGGTTGGCCGGGGGTCGACCTATTCGCCAGTGCAGACAACGCTCTGTGCCCACTCTGGTTTGCGCTGTGGCCCACGGACAATCCACCCCTGGGGGTGGATGCCCTGGCGCATTAACCCGTGGCCAGGGGGCTTCTTATATGCGTTTCCCACGACTCTTACCAGTTCTACTGAGGAGAATCGAGCAGGCGGGTCAGGAAGTGATTCTCATCGCCCCGGACAGCCCGCATGCCCACTGGTTCCCGTTCCTTAGGGGCATGGCGGTGAGGGAACCTTGGCCTCTCCCGGACGAGCCCGGGGCTCTGGTCCAGGGAGGGGGAGACACTGCACTCGCGCCCGGTGCTGGGCCACAGACTCTGGGTCTGGAGGCTGAGAGGCGGAATCTCGTAGGTCTGGGACTCCCTCAATCGGTGGGGGAGACCATTCAGGGTGCGAGGGCCCCTAACACTATCAGAGCCTACGGCTGTAGGTGGAAGGTTTTCAGCGACTGATGCGCGGCCCGATCTTGGGACCCCATGTCCTGCCCTCTGGAGGGGGTACTGGGGTTCCTACAGGAGCTGCTGGAGAAGGGGAGAGCTGCCGGCACCCTGGCGGTGTTCGCGGCAGCCATTGCCTCCGGCCACGGAGGGTTTGGGACCTTCTTGGCCCGTTCCCACCCGCTGGTCAAACGTTTCCTTTGGGGGGCCCACCGGAAGAGGCACGTTCTCCGGAGAAGGCCTCCGCTCTGGGACCTCAAGGTGGTCCCGAGGGGGTTATCAGGGCCGCCCTTCGAGCCTGTGACCCAGGCCAGCCTCGAATGTGTGGCTCTCAAGACCGCCCTCTTGCTGGCTCTGGTCTCAACCAAGAGGGCAGGTGAACTATGCGCACTCTCCGTTCGCCCAGAATGCCTGGCGTTTGGTTCTGAGGATGGTATAGTTGAGCTTTGGCTGAACCCAGCCTTTCTGCCTAAGGTTGATTCTTCGGCCTTTAGGTCAAGGGTCATCAGGGTCCGACCCTTTCAACCGACGCCTCATGCCTCGGAGGAGGACGAGCGGCGGCATCTGTTGTGCCCAATTAGGATGCTGAAATCCTACCTGTCTTACAGGTAGGTTTGACAGCTTATTTTAGACGTTCTGATCAGCTGTCTGTCCGTGGGCCCTGAGAACAGGGGCGCGCCATTGACGCCTCAGCGACTGGGTATCCCGGGCGATTTGCTTGGCATACCAGGCCCAGGAATTGGTTCCCCCGGTAGGGTTCAGGGCGCATTCCACACGAGGAGTCGCGGCCTCCACAGCTCTGCTCCGGGAGGCCAGGAGCTCTGGGTAGAGGCGTCCTCTTCCCCCCCTAGGGAAGAGCGCTATTTGAGAAGGACTGGTCTATGTGAAGTACGCAAAGGCGCTTACTAACTCAAGTGATAGTATGCATTTCTGATATTGGCCGCGCATGCGTACCTGCGTACCACTTATGTATAATAATTCTTTATAACAGACCTCTCAAACCAATAATGACCGTTGCCCATGGCAACGCAATCTGTGCTTGTAATTCAGGAGTGATTACTTCGCAAGTAGTCCGGACACTTCGTCACAAAGGGCTTTCAGCGCCTGTCAATACTTTTGTCTCTGCAAGAGAAGCTATCAGAGCTAGCCATGCTCAATAAACTCAAATAACTATCAATCAACACATTTAAATGTTAATTGGATAATACATTATACATATCTTCTTAATAAACATGCACAGAGGTTTTCATAATGATCTGTTAACATTTTAATTACAAAAATACTGGTTTAAATGTGACAAAAAGTGATTGCAGTGAAACCCGGAAGTAAACATGAACATTAATAGAACATTTCAGGACACATTTGTAGAGGATCTGATTGTGGATTTGGGTTAAGTTTATATTTGGGTCCCTCACTATTTATAAAGGCTCCGCCGTGAAGGAAGGCTCCGCTATTTATAAATGCACCGCTATGTAAAAAGGCACCACAATTTATAAATGCACCACTATATATAAATGCACCGCTATTTATAAATGCACCTCTATATATAAAGGCACCGCTATTTATAAATGCACCGCTATATATAAATGGCACCACTATTCATAAATGCACCGCTAAATGCACCGCTATTTATAAATGCACCGCTTTATATAAAGGCACCGCTATGTATAAATGCACCGCTATATATAGTATAAATGCACCGCTATTTATAAATGCACCGCTATATATAAATGCTCAGCTGCTGCCACCACCAGGAAGTTTTTTGCAAGTGCTTACAGGGATGCCAAGGCAGGATGTACTGTATATGAACAGGGCAGAGGATGAGCAGTGACCCAGGTGTGGAGGGCAGAAGTGGAAACCCAGCGACGCCGCGTGCGTAGCAACGCCTGTCCTGAAGGAGTGAGCTGTGTAGAGATGGGGAGACAGATTACGTTGTAGCAGTTGTGGGTGCCTTTGACGAGGAGTTTGAGAGACGGCTCTGAGGGTAAAGGGGAGAGAACAGGGTTGTACCAGCGGGCCTGAATTGGATCCCAGTGAGCAGGGTAGGTATAGGAGATATTGAAAGGAGATTGTCAGCACGGTGAAAGCACTGATTGCATGAACGGCAGGAAAAGTAAAGAATGTTGTGTGAGTAGAAGAAGTGGGAGTAGACTTTCCAGCGAAGGCCCTGGGGAACGAACCGGACGACTTGATTTAGGTGCCCGAGCAGGGAGAGCAGCTGCCGCGCTTCGACACCAACGGGGCCTGGAACCTCCCGCGCCAGAAGCCATGGGGCTTGTGGAAAGCAGACAGCAGGTCACGGGACGCCGACCTCAGGAGGAAGACGATGAACGCCCAATCGGGATGGAGCACGAGCGCGTGGGCGAGCCTGGGCAAGATGACCGGGGCGGAGAGGCGGGCGCTGATCAGGCCCGGATGAAAGCCCTTCAGAACGACGGCCTCACGGAAGCCGGGACGGGCCCCCCAGCACAGAGCGACAAAGGAACCAGGCTCCAAGAACAGCACGGCTAGGATTGGGACTAGGATTGTTGGGGAACTGCAGCGTCAATGACCAGCGGCTCAACGATCGTTTCTCCAGTCGTGCCCTTGCATTTGTCTTGAAGGACCCATCAAACATGAACATTTTTATTAACGCCACGCTGAAGAGGTCCACACCGTACTGCGTTTGCGGGAGAGGCCACGTTGCGAGCCCAGTCCACAGAGACGCAATCGGAACTAAAGTTGAGACCACATTTTCTGAGCAAGACGAACCAGAGTCAGCGCAATCCCTTGTGTCCAGGAGCTCGAGATCCTGTAGTGGACCCCAAACGCGATCCGTTTGACAATGTGCAAGACAGTCTGCGCCAGTACGAAGGGGAGACGTTACACCACTCCGCGCTTTATCACATCTCTCGGGGTTAAACTGAGAGCCTGCAGTCCAATGCGAGGGGTTAAGACTAAAAAGCCCGCAGTCCAATGTGAGGGCTAAAACTGAGAGCCCGCTGTCCAATGCGAGGGCCTAAAACTGAGAGCCTGCAGTCCAATGCAAGGGCCTAAAACTGAGAGCCTGCAGTCCAATGTGAGGGCCTAACTGCTAATTTACACATCACGCGTTACAGCACGTACGCGTTATACGCGCAGCAGACGCGCGTAACTTTTTTCCATGTTAACCTATGATGATATTTACACTTCTAGCGTTATACGCGCGTATGACGCGAAGCTGCGCTCTAATTTAGGATGGATTTCTAATTTTGTGCGCGCACCAACGCGTCTCCCATTGAAATCTCATGTAAAACAAGATTTTTCTAGCGGTCCTTGGCTCTAGATCGCAGTATACGCACACACAGCACTTGTATCTAAACATCAGCAGGAGGAGCAGCAGGCTTTACAGTGATTCTGGACATCGTTTTTTTTCTTTCATAAAGTCTTGCGTCTGGCCAAACCAGCGCACAGAAACCATGGAGACAAACACATGCATGTGATTTGTGTTGCTCTACATCAGTCCTCTGGCCCGTACTGTCCTCTGCACTGCTCCATAGACTACACAGGGAGAGCATCAGAAGACGCGGACCTGCGCGCACGGCCTGTGTAGATACTCCAAAAAAATGTTACGCGCAGAGAGCGCGCAGTAAACGCGTACGCGCTGTTTACGCCTACTGTGTAAATTCCCTGTAAGACTGAGAGCCCGCAACCCCATGTGAGGGTGTAAAACTGAGAGCCTGCAGAACATTGTGAGGGCGTAAAACTGAGAGCCTGCAGAACATTGAGAGGGCGTAAAACTGAGAGCCTGCAGAACAATGCGCGGGGTCAAAACTAAGAGCCTGACAGAACAGGCACGGGGTCAAAACTGAGCCTGCAATCCAATGCGAGGGGATAAAACTGAGAGCCTGACAGAACAAGGCGTGGGGTCAAAACTGAGCCCGCAGTCCAATGCGAGGGGATAAAACTGAGAGCCTGACAGAACAATGCGCGGGTTAAAAAACTGAGCCTGCAGACCAGTGCAAAGGGAATAAACCGTCCGCAGGTCAGCACACTTACCCCACTGACGCCAGAAGACAAGGGGAAAGCAACGGGACGACACCGTACCGGCATGAGGAGGCAGGGCACAGACTCCCAACGCACCGGTCCAGACCGGCTGCGTGCAGCAGCAGGTTGCGACGAGACGAGCAGCGGCGAGCCCGCAGAAAGAGCCCGCAAAAGAGGAGAGCGGCGAAGACTCACGGACCACAGCACGAGACCCGCAGCAGGTGCAGCGACGCGGAGGAGGAGCAGACCACAAGCAGCAAGACGGAGGACAGCAGGGCCACATGCAACACGCAAGCGTGAGTAGACAAAAGCGATTCCTCGACTCCTTGCAAGGCTTCCAGAAGGCCGTAAAGTGGGAGTTTCTCCACTTTTAAGCTGCTGACTTGACCAGCGTAGGTTGGCTGGAAATGGGCGTTTGCTGTGCGATAGGCTGAGGATGCGAGGCCGGCCTTGAAGGGGTGGCTTTAGCCGTCAGTCTTCCAGAGTTGAATTTCCGCAAGGCTGCATTTATAAAAAAGCTGCACCCAACATTCAGTATAACAAAAAGAAATAAGCTGGTACATAACTGAATGACCACAAAAAGCCAGTACTTAACCAGTGTGTGAACTCTGTAAATGTAAACTCTCAGATAACAAAAATAATCAAATACAACCAGGCATTTGTGCTACATTTACCCTTCATTCAAATCAAAACAATGATAAAAAATAGAAGAAGTTACTCCTTTTAATTGCTGGAAAGTGACGTAAATTGGCTTCAAATTTAACAAATCCGATAATATCGGCTTCATATTGAACAAATCCGATAATATCCGATCCTTACAAAATACCCATATCGGCCCCCGATACCGATACTGAATATCGGATTGGTACACCCCTAATTGAACATTATCACATGTACTGTATTGTGAGTTGGCTATTGCTCCTTTTGAAAAATGGTAGCTTTGTGAAACATACAATACAGTAAATTACATTCTGTGTACAGTGCACAGTAGTGTAAAAAAAATAAACCAATAGTAACAATTTGTGGTTGCATATTTCTATAGAATGACTAGAAGACCTTCAAGGTCCTCAACACCTGTTCACCAACAGCAGGAACATTGTAGAAACAGTCCGAGCAGGAACCATGATCCATAATCAACACATGAACAACTGCCTAGTTGTTTTTGTGTTGCTGCATTGACACAAATGCAGTAAAGTATACTGTAGTACTGTGATGTGCAGTATACTGTCTGAAAGTGTGTTCACATTACAAAAGTGTATATTTTTTTCCTCAGTGTTCCATTTTGACAAATGATTATTTTTTGAGAGCAGAGTTTGAGTTTTGATAAAGGAGTTTCATTTTGACACAGATGTGAATGGTTTATGTCCCAGTGTTGTGTCAGGTTCTTGTGTGTGTAGAGTTTTGGGACTATATGAGCAAAATTTTGCTAAATGTTGTGTTCAAGCAATAGGAAAAAACTAATATACATTATAAACTATTTGGGTTTGGGGACAAGAATTGTAGCTTGCAACTGCTTTTCCACTGCTGTCAGTGAGTGAGTGGCCATGTTATAGGAACCACACGTAAACTTCCCATTGCCACAGCTCTGAACTTGTTTCTTGTTATGGTCACAAGCGCGGCCTGTTCCTCGTTCACTTCTCACCACATCATTAACATGTCCCCGTCAGAAGCCGCTTATGTCCCAAACTCACCCACTGCTTTGATGAGGAACCCCTTTGGCGACCTCAGAGCACGGCGCATCCACGCTTCCCTCACCACCTCCAGGTTATTGGCGTTTCCTTGAATGAACAGCACCAAGTTTTCCATCCATCCCTGGAAGTGCACCTCGGAGACAGCTTTCACCAGTCGTTTATTCCAAAAACTGCATAAGTTCTGGCTTTTGAACTCCGCGAATATCTCCTGCCCTGTGAACGGTTCATTGCGCACAGGCAAGCTCTCTTCATCGCGCGTCAGAACCACAGCGAGGGAGGTGGAGGACAGCTGGATAACCCGCGGTGAGAGAGTCATTTTCTTCAGGAAAGTGTTTTCAATCTATTCTCTAGCAAAATATATCATATTCTCCTTAAAATATGCTAGCGCTTTGTATAGGTCCACAACAAAGCAGCGTCGATCAGCGCATTCCTCCTTCGAGGCGTGTAGTGCGCGTAAAAACGGCGGACTGCTGTGCGCGCTTCGGCGAGACTGGAGAGTGAAGGGGCTGGGGGAGGAGCTCTGCCTTGGGTCACACAGGTGGAGCCTCCCCTTTACATGCGCTGGTCTGACAGGTTCTACAAAACAAAAAAGTTTGGTTTGAAAACTGCACATTTACAACCAATGTAACTATACAAAGGAATGTCTCTAACTTGGTTGCTTATATCACTAGTTTTCACATTCTTGTATTTTTGGCCTCTGTCACATCTCTAATCAGATTATTTAGACAGAAAGTGAAAAGGATTGGACCACCCTCCATCAGCCAATCAGCCCAAAGCCTCAAATATTGACTCAGTGTCATAGATCTATTTTTCAATGCATTTGTGTGCAGCCTTGGAAAGGTTGGACTTTTTGATGAGTAAGTAAGTAAGTAAGTAATCTTTATTTATATACTGCCTTTCACAGACCAGAGTCACAAAGCGGTTTACAATTGTTATTTTTTTTGGGCAATTGTCCTCTCACTCCACACAGAGATGGGAGCGGGGTCGCCGAACAGGAGGCGCATGCCAGAACTATTGTACATATTTTTAGTTTTGATACTTGTAACCAAACAAAATGTGTTTATTAACTGGAGATAATAAATATTGCAACAGCTTCTTCTTATGCATATAGGGGTACAAGAGGGCAGGCACGAGGATGTTTAGTTTTATAAGTTTAAATAGAGCTCAGAAAAGCTAATGTTTACTGGCGGCTTAAACTCAAGAATGTGTTTCAAAAACAAGTGGATGCACATCTACTGCTGGGAAGTAATTACATCTGAACCCTCCAAGCAGCATCAATATGGATAAATATTTCACAAGAGCAGCAATTATGTGTTACTAAATCGGTGAAAGTTAAGTAAATACATCATGGTCAGAAAATGGAGCCACTTCCATCTTGACATAACCATTTTTGGTTGATTAAGATAAGATAAACTTTATTACAATACAATACACAATACAATACAATTTATTCTTGTATAGCCCTAGGTCACAACATAAGTCATCTCAGAGGACTTAACAAAACCATTGAAATCACCAACACAGGTCAGAGAATCAACAGTTAAAACACATGGAGAATATAAAGCACACACAGAAGAAAATGTCTATACATGTTGTAGAATGCTAAAGTGTCCTGATCATCACCAATCCTTTCTGTTGGACACTAACTGTCCAACAAGACCCTCCTGCATCGACAAGGAAAAACTCTTAAAGGAATAGTTCACCGTTTTTACATACTGACATATGTTCTTACCTTACCTTAGACTAGTTAATACATACCTGTCTGGTCTTAGTCCGTGCGCTCTGTCATGCAAACGGAGCAAAAACGGGAGCACAAATGCAGCCTCCTCTGTATATTTTGTAGCACCAGCGCTAGTAGTTGCGCTACTAGTTGCGCTTGTAGTAGCGCTACGTCCGCGCACTAACTTCTCTCCGGAGACTTCTCTCTCGCTCACTTCCGTCAATAGAAGCAGCGTGACTTGTAGTGCACACAGTAGCAGCGAGAGAGAAGTCTCCGGAGAGAAGTTAGTGCGCAGAGAAGTTAGGAGCGCTACGTCCGCGCACTAACTTCTCTCCGGAGACTTCTCTCTCGCTGCTACTGTGTGCACTACAAGTCACGCTGCTTCTATTGACGGAAGTGAGCGAGAGAGAAGTCTCCGGAGAGAAGTTAGTGCGCGGACGTAGCGCACCTCAGATTACTACGCCTCACAATATAGTACCCGTTTTATCCGCTGAGAAAATCGACTGTTACATTTCTGTGTTACTATACTTTGCAGTGTAACACGTCACGTAACTATATACATTTAATAGGGAACACTTGGAAGAGTTTGGTAGCTTCTAGCGGGAGCTACCTTTTGGTGCTACAAAATATACAGAGGAGGCTGCATTTGTGCTCCCGTTTTTGCTCCGTTTGCATGACAGAGCGCACGGACTAAGACCAGACAGGTACGTATTAACTAGTCTAAGGTAAGGTAAGAACATATGTCAGTATGTAAAAACGGTGAACTATTCCTTTAAAAAACCCAGTGGGAATAAGTGAGAAACCTTGGGGAGAACTAGGGAAACCCACAGGGAGGGAGACCCATATGAGAAAGGGATCCGCTCCTCTGGACGGACAGGCTAATGATCTAGGACCTAAGCTAGCTACAGAACATTTGTTTATTGAAGAGTCACATTTGTCAGACATTTTTACAGTTAACGTGTTTGCTCTTTTTATCCCCCAGAACCCCTGCACAATAGAATGATATTATATATAGATATATACATATGCACACCCACACAAACATATACATACATCTATCTATATACATACATATAAGATAGTGGGATAAGTAAACTCTCAATCATTCAGAAAAACAAAAAAGGACACCAAATATATAAATCATCTGTACTTCCGATAACAGGACTGATATTTCACCTACATGGCTACACAATCTTTGTCCCGGATGTGATGGAGAATGTGCTCATCCATTTTGGCCTCAGCTGCTTCACAGTAGATCTGGAAATGACAAGTTAAAATGTGTTATGAATTATTTCATGCCAGCAAAAGTAAAAACTAAACAGAGAGGACTAAGTCAAAGACACTGCATGGATCTACAGTGTATAAGTATGACTGCTAATAATATAATGATGCTAGCATGCAGTCATCACAGCTGTGCAATAATAGTATGGATAATTACTCTGCATTGCTGGCAGGTCATTTATTTAGGCAATGTTTCAGTGGTCTGGATTCATATAAGGCCTACTTGTACTGAATATGTCATCACAGTTAGTTGTAATTCTAGTAGATCTAAAGGTATATCAATCTGGGACTTAGCGCAACTGTTATTTATGTAGCTCCTCCCAACCTTATCACAAGAGGTTGGGAGGAGCTAACAGAATCAATAAAAACTTACTGTCATATGTTTTTAAAACATCTCCCTACGCTTGTCTCGTCCCAATCCGCATCGTCGTCGGCAGGTGTCCCACCATAGCTTCCGTCAGTTTCTCACAGAGGTTTGTTGGGGCTGGTTCTATGTACACGATGCATTTCAAAAGCGGCAAAACATCCATTTCTGCCTCAGACAACGACGGTAGTGATCCACAAGCCTCGCACGCCGTGTTTGTTGACATACCGCGTAGTGATTTTCCCGGAAATGCTCGATAATACGCGTCTCCTATTGGCTGAGCAGTGACGGTTTACAACCTTTTTCGTCTCCTTACACGAGAAATAGTCCGGCGTAAGATTTCAAACTGTACAATAACTGCAAAAAATTGCACGGAGAACTTTTAGAGTGTCATCAGATACACTATAGTGAAGCTAAAACCAGTCTCAAAAAGTAGTGCCCAAGTTATGGAACGGAAATTGATTTCTAGCCACATATTTGGACTCAGCTGACAGCCTAATTGTGTCAAATGCAGCACTAAGGTCCAGTAGGACCAGCACTGACACTTGTCCATTATCAGCAGCTAGTAGTAAGTCATTTGTGACTTTGACTAGTGCCGTTTCAGTGCTATGATGAGCTCTGAATCCTGATTGAAAGACTTCAAGCATATTATTTTCCTGCAGGTGGCAGCGAAGCTGCTCAGCTATAAGTTTTTCCAGGATTTTAGATATAAAAGTGAGGTTTGAGATCGGTCTGTAGTTTGTAAGTATTTCTGGGTCCAGGTTTGTTTTCTTCAGAAGGGGTTTGATTACCGCGGTTTTAAAAGCTTGTGGGACATAGCCACATTGTATGGATGCGTTTATTATATTTACGATAGGCTCAATTATCAAAGGAAGTATGTCTTTGAAGAGCCATGTCGGGACTGCGTCTAACATGCAAGTTGAGGCTTTTGAGGATATGACCACAGAGATCACCTCTGCTTGGCTCACAGCCATGAATTTATCGAGGCCCACTGAAGAGTCTTAGTGGGAAGTCACGTATGCCGCTTCAGCTTGTCCACTACCAACAGCAGGAGTAACCTCCTCCAGTTTGTCACGGATGGATGTAATTTTATTATTAAAGAAGTGGAGAAAGTCGACACTGCTCAGTGAGCTTGGAATTTTAGGCTCGATTGCGCTATGGCAGTTTGTGAGTTTAGCGACGGTGCTAAACAAAAATCTACTGTTATTTTTATTTGCTTCTATTAAAGTTGAATAGTATTGAGTTCGAGCCCTGCGAAGGGCATTCTTATAGTTTCGGAGACCTGCTTTCCACTCCCTGTGGACAGGCTCCGAGTGGGAGTGGCGATATAGCCTCTCCAATTTTCTGACGTCCTGTTTTTAAGTGTGGAGTTGAACACTGTACCAGGGCGACGATGATCTAATCCTAATAGTTTTCTGTTTTAAAGGAGCTGCTGCATTTAATGCAGATTTTAAAGACTCCATAGTGTTGTCCACCGTTTGGTCAATGACTGAGGGACTGCAGCAGCTGTGAACAGGTTCACCTGCAGCAGTATTCAACATAGGCTGTATTAGTTCTTTGAACCTGATAGATAGATGACCTTAAATGCAGTGGCGGCTGGTGGAATTTTCTACTGGGGGGGCTATGAATATGATGACTAGATATATACCAGCAGTAAGTAAGTTTACACTGACTGTTGTGACTGAAGCCTCACACGAGAATGCAATATTTATCTTCCCAAACATAGCTAATTTGAGGGCATTTTGCATGTGGATACCAGTCTGCTCATGCTTCTTTGCCTTTTCTAAAAAGTGCTTCAGATCAGTCATACCTGTCTTGATCCATGCTGGGTCAGATCCTGATGTTTGAAACAAGAGGCATGGAAAGCAAAATAAAGCATTAGCCTCGCTACATGCTGCTAGCCAAGATTTGGCGCTGAACCAGGTCCTGGAAAAAGTACGAGTGTACCGTC